AGCTGCCTGAACACATAGTAGCTGCCCCAGAGCTAATGGACAGGGGGACATGCCAGGAGGACGCGCCGCGAAACGTCCCAAGGGATGCGCCAGGCGACGTGCCAGGGGACGTGCCATGGGGTCGCACCGCGGGACGTGCCAAGGGGACGCGCTACGGAACGTGCCAATGGATGTGCCACGGGATGTGCCAGGGGACGCGCCACGCGACGTGCCAGGGGGACTCGCCAAAGGACGCCCCACGGAACGTGCCAAGGAACGTGCCAAGTTGCAATGCTGAGTGTATCGACCTTGATGTACCGTGCCGAAATCAGTGCTGTGCTGCGCCGTGCTGAATTGCGATGTGCCATGGCGCGATTGTGCTCTATAGCCTCGTGGATCGAGTCCTCCTTTGCATCCGTCCTGACCGAACTGATCTGGATCTTAAGCTCGAGCTGCCTGAACACATAGTAGCTGCCCCAGAGCTAATGGACAGGGGAACATGCCAGGAGGACGCGACGCAGAACGTCTCAGGACGCGCCAAGCGACGTGCCAGGGGACGTGCCATGGGGTCGCACCGCGGGACGTGCCAAGGGGACGCGCTACGGAACGTGCTGGGGACAAGCGTTTCGCTCGAGACATCCTGTCAAAATCATCTGAATTCCTACGCGCGGGACGCTGCACGCGCGAGACATCCTCGGAATTCCTGCGAGCGGGACGTGAAAACAAGCATTTCGCCTGAGACATCCTTTGAATTCTGGCCCCCCACGAGGCCACCGCTCGAGACATCCTCCAATTTTGCAAAACCAGCGTTTCGCTCGAGACATCCTCAACAAATTATGAAAAACAAGCGTTTCGCTCGAGACATCCTGTCAAAATCCCAAGAAATCCAAATACCCGCGCGCGGGACGCGGCACGCGCGAGACATCCTTGGAATTCCTGCGCGAGGGTCGCTTTTCCGTGTCGCGGTCGGCTCTGCAAAACCAGCGTGTCGCTCGAGACATCCTCAACAAATTCTGAAACCAAGCGTTTCGCTCGAGACATCCCCAACTCTGCAAAACCAGCGTCTCGCTCGAGACATCCTCAACAAATTCTGAAAAACAAGCGTTTCGCTCGAGACATCCTCAAAAATAATTCCGCCGGCCCTACTCCCGCACGTAATTTATCGCAGAATAATTTCGCCGGCCCTACAGCCGTCGAAACCGGGGGTAAACCTCTAACATGATCGACCCACGAACCCGGAAAGGAATGTAGAACTGTAACACAGTAACACATGGCAGCGTTTTCAAAGACACCTGATTGGGTGACGGGCAAATGCAATACTGAAGGTATCGATCTTGATGTACCCTGCCGAGGGCTGTGCTGTGCTGCGCCGTGCTGAATTGCGATGTGCCATGGCGCGACTGTGCTCTATAGCCTCGTGGATCGAGTCCTCCTTTGCATCCGAGTCCTGACCGAACTGATCTGGATCTTAAGCTCGAGCTGTCCTGAACACATCGTAGCTGCCCCAGAGCTAATGGACAGGGGAACATGCCAGGAGGACGCGCCGCGAAACGTCCCAAGGGATGCGCCAGGCGACGTGCCAGGGGACGTGCATGGGGTCGCACCGCGGGACGTGCCAAGGGGACGCGCTACGGAACGTGCCAATGGATGTGCCACGGGATGTGCCAGGGGACGCGCCACGCGACGTGCCAGGGGGACTCGCCAAAGGACGCCCCACGGAACGTGCCAAGGAACGTGCCAAGTTGCAATGCTGAGTGTATCGACCTTGATGTACCGTGCCGAAATCAGTGCTGTGCTGCGCCGTGCTGAATTGCGATGTGCCATGGCGCGATTGTGCTCTATAGCCTCGTGGATCGAGTCCTCCTTTGCATCCGAGTCCTGACCGAACTGATCTGGATCTTAAGCTCGAGCTGCCTGAACACATAGTAGCTGCCCCAGAGCTAATGGACAGGGGAACATGCCAGGAGGACGCGACGCAGAACGTCCAAGGGACGCGCCAAGCGACGTGCCAAGGGACGTGCCATGGGGACGCACCGCGGGACGTGCCAAGGGGACGCGCTACGGAACGTGCTGGGGACAAGCGTTTCGCTCGAGACATCCTGTCAAAATCATCCGAATTCCTACGCGCGGGACGCTGCACGCGCGAGACATCCTCGGAATTCCTGCGAGCGGGACGTGAAAACAAGCATTTCGCCTGAGACATCCTTTGAATTCTGGCCCCCCACGAGGCCACCGCTCGAGACATCCTCCAATTTTGCAAAACCAGCGTTTCGCTCGAGACATCCTCAACAAATTATGAAAAAACAAGCGTTTCGCTCGAGACATCCTGTCAAAATCCAAAGAAATCCAAATACCCGCGCGCGGGACGCGGCACGCGCGAGACATCCTTGGAATTCCTGCGCGAGGGGCGCTTTTCCGTGTCGCGGTCGGCTCTGCAAAACCAGCGTGTCGCTCGAGACATCCTCAACAAATTCTGAAACCAAGCGTTTCGCTCGAGACATCCCCAACTCTGCAAAACCAGCGTTTCGCTCGAGACATCCTCAAAAATTCTGAAAAACAAGCGTTTCGCTCGATACATCCTCAAAAAATAATTCCGGCCGCGAGCGCGCTGCAGAGTGCCCCACGTAGGCCCCCAAGACTGCCCAAGAGTCCCCCGAGACGGCCCAAGAGCGCTCGAAGACGCCGAAGGGTGACGCCCAAGACTGCCCCAAGGCCCCCAAGACAGCTCAAGAGGCATCAAGACGCCCCAAGAGCCTTCAAGAGGCCTCCGAAGAGAGCCCCAAGAGGCCAAAATCGTTGATTTTCATTGTTTTTTTCTATGTTTTTTGTGTTCTGGCTTTTTCGGCTTCCGGACGCTCCAAGACGGCCCAAGAGGCCCCCAAGACCGCTCCAAGACGGCCCACGAAGCTCCCAAGACGGCGCCGACACGACCCAAGAGAGCCCTCAAGACGGCCCAAGTGCCGCCCAAGACGGACCAAGAGGCCCCAAGACGGGCCCAAGAGGGACTCAGGAGGCATACCGAGAACTCAAAAATGGAGCCCTCCGTCCCAGAAGGCGCCCAGGAGGTCCCAAAGAGGCCCCAAGAGGCCTCCAAGAGGCCCCAAGATGTCGCCAAGAGGCCCCAGGAGACTCCCAGGAGGCCCAAAAGAAGCCCCAGAAGGCTTCAAACCTGTCTCCCAGGCGCCCCCGAACGGCCTCTCAACAGACCCCAAGAGGCCCCCCAAAGAAGCATCTTGACGACGACCCTATTTCGCCCCATCGAGAGACGACCCCCAGGGAACTGCTTCACCATCAAAACTCCCCACGCAACGCGTCCGAACGACACCCGCCCCCAAGAGCGCAACATGGGCAACGAACACACAGACAAAAACCAGCGATGCCATATCACGGGCCGGCGGAATGAGCGAAGCGATTCAATAATTCCGCCGGCCCTTCTCCCGCATGTAATTTATCGCAGAATAATTTCGCCGGCCCTACAGCCGTCGAAACAGGGGGTAAACCTCTAAAAGAGAACCCTGGGCTCGAGCCCTTTCCGGGAAAAGAGAACCCTGGGCTCGAGCCCTTTCCGGGAAAAATGGGCCCCGGACAAAAAACTACCCCAGGGGAAGGGGGCGGGAACTCTGGGGCCGCGCCTTGAAAAACATGATGGACCCACG